AAAACCTGACGCAACACAGACGAAACCCTGACGCAACCCTGACGGTTACTGTGTGCAAACAACAAGGTTAGGTATTATTGTTATCGTTAACGTCATCGTCATTATTATTTCTGTTTTATATATCATTATATTATTATTATTATTATTATTATTAATATTATTATTATTATTATTATGATCGTGTTCGTCGAATCGATTAGGATCGAAGACACGAATTGCCAATTAATTGACACCAATTGACTTTTCTCGGGGGGTAACTACTATGAGTTTAATGACGTCACAGAAAGTCGGCAACTGACTCTCTGACGATACCCTCGGAAGAAGGAAAGAAAAGAATATATAAAAAGAAAAGAAAAAAAAAAGAAATAAAATAAAATAAAATCTAAATCGGGAACACGCTATCCGATCGATTCGATCGATCGATTATAACCATGATCGATTATGGTCTCATTAAAAAAAAAAAAAATAAAATAAAATAAAATTGGCGCCAGATCGATCGTCATACACGCGTCATTCGACACGTTCTTCTAAATTGCTTTTGAATTTAAATCAACCATCATCGTTCCATTCTTTTTTATCTTCTTTTCTCCATTTTATCATCTCACGTGAACAAAAAATTCATGCACAAAAATTCATGCACAAAAATTCACGAACAAAAATTCATGCACAAAAATTCATGAACAAAAATTCATGAACAAAAATTCATGAACAAAAATTCATGAATAAAAGTGCCATTTTGAAATCAATTTGTGTGTGTGTGTGTGTGTGGATAAATTTGAACTTTACATTTTCGTAAATTATCTCAACTGAAAATAAATAATAAAATTATTATTAATTATTTCTTTTTTTTTTTTATTTTTTAGACATGAACCTCTGTCATTTCAAGATCTGCAACATGGGACGCAAAAGGCAATCGTAAATCCAGTTTTCTTATGGTGTTCACTGCGAAAATCATCGAACTTTTCTCTTTCTCTCTTTCTCTCTCTTTCTCTCTCTCTCTCTTTAATTATCTATTTGTCTATAAATCTTCTATTTCTTTACTATTATCTCGTAAAAGCAAAAATTTACTTAATGTTTTTCTTTAAATGAGTTATAACCAAAAAAAAAACCGAAGGAAATCAAATTTAAACAAAAAATAAACACATATAAATATATATATATATACATATATATATTATAAGAAAGAGGGGGAAGTAAAAAGCAACGAAAAAAAAATAAGATAAATTCAAAACGAAAGTAATGAAATTGAAATGTTAATTTATGTGCAGTCCAAAAGTCGTAAAAAGAAAAAAATTTTAAATAAAATACGAGAGAGAACAAACTTTATATATATCTATATATATATATATGTGTGTGTGTGTTTGTCTGCTGTGTATATATAAATTTATAGTTGCATATACATTTAACAAAACAAAAACAAAAAAAAAACCAAACACGAATTAAAAGAAAAATTTGAAACAAATTGAATCYTAAGAAACCAAATTTATTATTATTATCAAACAAAAATTAATCAAATCTTACAATAGTTCGATGAAATTCGCGTGACACTTTATAAAATTTGAAAAAAAAAACAACAACAAAAAATGAGAACATTGATGTGAATATGTAACAATTTACTACTACTACTACTACTACAACTACTCCTACTACTACTACTACTACTACTACTACGTCGTGCCCAAAAAAAAACAAAATCTGAATAACATTTACTGAGCGCTTTAGAATAAAAAAAATATTTTATTATTGTAAACGAATGAAGGTGGAACGATTTTGAAAAAAAAAAAAAAAAACAGAAGAAAAGGTGGAATAGTAAAAAATATGATACAGAAAAAGATTAAAAAAAAAAAA